CCCCAAAACCCCAAAACCCCTGAAATCCAAAACTTAAAGCATTAATTGAAGAAATTAAATATTAGAACTATTTCATATTCTATGTCTATAAACTTAAATTATAAAAATCATATATCCTAGTCAAAACTTTAAAGATAGATTACATTTACAATCATCTATTGAAACTAAGATATTGAACTCGAGTGCATGATTGCACTATAAGAACTTGATTTAACCTGTCATCAAGAAAAAAGAAAATAAACCTCTCAAAATATGATTGCTCTTTGGAAATCCAATCAATAAGATGATTCTACCCTAATTATCATAAGACTGTGTAAATACTGATTTTTTTCACCCTTCCCAAGTTTTAAGTGTAATTTTTAATGACATACAACTAAGTTATTAACTAATATGCAGCTCATGATCTCTCATAAAGGTCATAAGGATACAGAACCATTTACTGGGAAAAGTTGGAAGGAACAATGATTGATAGAGTGTTTAATTATGCTGGTGACTTAACTTTTACTCACTAGACAACCCTAAATCATTGATTCGCAAGAATCGATGAAGTGTCTTAAACAACAATAGACATTATCAAATAAAACATTCTTGAGAACACTTGTCAAAGATTGTAGGTTTCTATTTCTTTTGATCTTTTCCTTTATAGAAAATTACTATTTAAAAACTAAAAGATTTGTAATCTAAACATAAAAATAGTTTAAGCTGAGAGATTCCTAAATAAGAATAAAGAATTATCTTGAATCAGTGCAACATAGACAAATAAATAACTCTGTGAGAAAAATGAGCATGAAACATAAAATAATAATTAAAAGTAAATTAATTAATCTATCTAAAGTATCATTTATTGGATAAACTATAGATAGTGACGAGACAAATAGAAATTAGTTTGCTTGATGCCATTCATAGAGTTTATGAATTTTATGCAGAAAAATTTTTTGGCCTATACTACCGTTCAATCAGATACAAATTCCTTGATAATCATAAGACCTAGCCAGAATTGGGCAGAGCTAATGCACTAAGAAACATATCTTTTAACAAATGAATGGGTCCTGAAAACATATACATATAATGCAGTGGTTAAGATATTAAAAATACTTTACCATTTATCTCATGATTGGAAGACTCGGTGAATGAAAAAAAACCTTCGATAGATAAATAATGCAAGCTTTATGCTGCTTTTCAATGATAGCTTAGCGAATTGGAATGTTGAAAAGTCCAGACAAGAAGTACCGAGACATGAATACTCTATTGGCTGGATCATTGGCTCAATAAAAGCAAATGATGTATACCTTAAGTTAATCTTAGTAGATGAAGTATGAGAGTTCCACAGATCGGAGGAATTTTAAAAGAAAATTAAGCATCCTCTGGGGGGTTGACATATATAATTTAGTGAAATACAATTATCTTACCAAATTCTTAATTCTACTACTATTATTATTATTATTTTAATTTTTATGATTTCCTTGAACTGATTCTTTTCATATTACGGGGTTTTGGGGTTTTGGGGAGATCGGA